GAAAGGAAATTAAAAATATTGAATCATAGCTAAAATTTATTAAATAGTATGCATTGAGAACATTTTTCTAGGCACTTTTCATGTATTAAATCCTTAATCTTATCAACAGTTTTATGAAGTAGTTGCTATTATTATTCACATTTTACAGTTGTGGAAACTGGGACACAGAAAGAGTAAGTGTCCAAGGTCACACAGCTAAGAAGTTTCAGAGCCCAGACTGCAACCCTGGCAGCCTGTCTCTACCCACTCTCCTAACCTCTGTTCGTACTGCCTCTCTGGAAGATATCTTATATCAGAGGGAATTTCACTCTAAAAAGTAAAGTAAAAAATCATATAGAATTATCAGTATTGCTAACAAGCATTGAGTTCATTATCATACAGACTTCCCTCATAGCAGAAAAATTAGATATGATCTGTTGAAGGATATATGATCTGTTGAAGGATATATGATACGTTATAAGATGCATATACCATCAAAGATTTTCTCATTAATCCATAACGTTACAAGTTAGACAAGTTTTTCTATAAAGTTAAAATTATATTAGATTTCTTACTAAACATAAAGGCATCTTAGGGTTTTTTGTTTGTTTATTTGCACCTTGGGTGGTATCATTTGAAATGAAAAGACACAACAGAATATTTGGTTGGTGGAAAACCAGTACTTCTAATTTTGACTTATTAAGATCGGGTTTGTTAGAGATGGTCAGTAGCAGTTGGATCTGTTAAGTGTGAATCTCATAAGAGATATAAACCCGAGTATTATCCATTATAGATGTTATTTAGAGCCTTGAAAGTGGGTAAGATCAGCAAAGGGGGCAATGTATATAAGAAAGGAGAATGGTAGTAAAGCAATTTCAGTCCAATAAAGCGTGGAATGGCGGTTACCAGAGGCTGGGGCTGGAGGACGACGGATGGGAAAAGGGGACATGCTGGTCAAAGGGCACAAAGCTCCACTTAGGAGGAATAAGTTGGTGATCTATTGCACAGCTTGGTGACTGTAGTTAATAATAATGAATTGTATGTCTCAAAATTGCTAGAAAAGTAGATTTTAAATGTCCTAACCACAAAGAAATAAGTATGTGAGGTGATGGATATGTTAATTAGCCCAATTTAATCATTCCCCAGTGCATACCTATATCATCACATCTCCTTGTACTCCATAAATCTATGTAATTATTTGTGAATTAAAAATAAATTAATTAAAAAAACAAATTTGAGATCAAGAGGAAAAGGGCAACAAAGGAGACTGACAAGCAGTGGCCAGTGAAGCAGGAGAAAAACCAAGAAGGTGGTGGAAGTCAAGAGAAGAAAACATCTAAAAAGATCGGCTGGGACAACTCCTGCTGAGAGGTCAAGTAACCCAAATTTGGGAAAATAACCTATTGATTTGGTAACATGGACTCCCCAGCGGCCTGGGAACTAGCCAAGAGCAGTTTTGATGGACTGCTTGAGAGCGGGAGCCTGGACGGAGTAGGGGAAGGAGACTAGGATGGGAGGAAGTGGAGGCAATCACTGGACAACCAGGCCCTTTGTAAAGGGGAGCAAAAATAGAAAGAGAAAGAGCAGAAGGTGGGGGTGTGACATCAAAGCTTTTTTTAATATGGGAGATGCTTTGTATAGTTGTATGATGTTAGTATGATGATAGGAGTTGTGCAGGAAATTGGTTGAGAGAAATAGATGATGCAGGAGAAAGAGGAAAAATCTTAAGAAGCAAGGGGAGAGAGGATCTTGACCACACAAAGAGGTTAACCTTTGAGTAAAACAGAAACACTTCATCCACTATAACAGGAGGAGGGCAGAAAACACTGGCACAGGTGGATGGAGAACATGGTACGTGTAGATTTGTGGGTGAATGGATGAGGGCATTATAATCTGCCTGTTTCTATTTTTCTGAATTATACGCATTGCATTGTTAACCTAATAAGAATGAACTTACACATACCATTTTACATTAAAATACTGAGACGTTTTAAAATAACCTAGTGTTTTTATACTTGCAAAGCAAGTTATTAAAATAGCACAAATTCATAGGTACAAAACCAGTAGCACAAAATCAGGATATCATCAGTGAAAAATCAAGTGTTTTGTTGCAAGATAATTTCAGGGCATTATGTAGACATCTGCTTTAGCAGAGGAGTAGAAATGGCTAATATTTATATTGCAGTGCATGTATGTCCTAAAACATAGGGCAAACTATAAGACCATAATAGGCCAGAAATGTTGTAGATAAAAATACCCATCATTATATACTATGGGGTTGACTAAATCACCTTACTTAGCTACAATTTCCCATTTTCCCTATGTATGGTGACTTTTGGGGCACCCTGTAGTGTAAATGATAGTTGCTATAAGTGAATGGAGGCTTATCTTTATCATTTGTCAATTTATTTGCCAATTTAAAATCAAGAATTGACAGTCAAGACCAACTGGAAACAACAATGATGAGGTATCCTTCACACAGAATATCCTGTCCTCCCTCTCCTGTGGGCATGGCAGTAATCTGTGTGCAGCACTACCTGGGAGCCAAATTTCTTATATGGTATGAGGTCTCAGTAAATTCTGGAAGTTCACTAATTCTATTTATGACTGTAAAACTATAGAAACCCTTAATCACTCGGTACCCTTATTGTAGGTAAAAATGGAAGTATATAGACTTTCCTCATTTGCCTGTAAGAACCAAAGAAAGTGCTTGAGGTTTTAGACTTAAACTGGTCTCTCGGACCATGCTTTGATAACTGTGGTTCTCAATCATCTTCCCTTCTTCGGCAACTCTAAATCCTTGCAGAATTACTACTTTAGAGTGAAGGATTACATTGGAAATGATCTGAAGAAGGGAAAACGGATGGGCAAATGAGAGGATGTTTTGCATTTGACATTTGGGATTGTCTTTCTGGTTTTACATTTTGGCATTGACAATTAAATATCTTTGATTTAAGAGGGGAGATGAAGAGATGCGTGTTATAGGTGGTGCCTGCTTACTCCTCACTGCGTAAGAGGTGTCTTGAGGGATGTGATAACTCTAACACAGGGTCTTGGCTAGTTGTTTCTCAGGGCACACATTTGATCTCTAGGAACTGTGCACCTTTACCGCACTGAGGATGGAAGTGCAGCTTTTTCCTGAAGGGACTGAGGAATTGTTGAAGGATTATATGCAGGGAGATAACACAATTCAATTCACTTGTAGAAAGAGCGCTGACAATAGTGTAGCTGGGTGAGGACAGGTGAGGCTGGGACAGGGGGACCAACCAGTCACTATTGCAGAGATCTGACAAGAGCTGAGGAGGGTCCCGTAGCAATGGTGAAGAGGAGATGGATTTAAAAAAATACTAATATTTCAGATGTGAGGAAACTTAATGGCTGGGCAGCTGAGGAACAGTGAGTCACCTGCCAAGTGCCTCTTTATTTTATAGGTGCATAAAAAATTTAATCTCATAACATTGAGATGGCAGCATAAGAAAATCGACAGGAGTCATATTTGTCATCAAGGCTGTATTTGGACACATTTTTATTTTGCAGTGTATCACTTTTCCTTCTCTCATCTCAACTTGTAAACAATTTGCAAGAAATTGCATTCTATAAGGAACATTTTTGGTTATCATTTGTTCTATCCTTTCCTTTTTCATTTGCTTTGAAGTACTTAGGGTGTATAAGACATAAAGGAAGCACATAAATAACATTTAAATTCTTTAGGCTAATTTTGACTTTCCCTCAAAATAACAGATTCTTTGCCAGACCTCATTCTTGTTTGTGTTGAAGTTTGTCCCACATAATCCTGCCTGTCTCTGTTTCCAGCTGCACAGTGTGATACTTGTTTTAAGCAGCTGCTCTTGAAAGGTAGAATTTAACAATGATTAAATGCATAAGGTGGGTTTCCATTTGCGATCAGGGTTTCTGGGTAGCTTTCCTTTGAATACTTCTTTCTTTCATGCTTTTTGACCTACATTTTGGCTGTGAGAATAAATCTAGGAAAACTGCTGTTTGGCCTTTTAGTACATTGCCAGCTTTGGCAATTGCAAACTAACTGGTTTTGTACTAAACACCACTGAAATAAATGAGTCTGATTAAAGCTTGGAACCCCTGAGCACAACAAATGTAAAACCGTCAACAGATGCCATTTGCTGAAACGGAGGCTCCTCTAGCAGATGGGTGGAAGTTAAACATAAATTGCACTATTCCTTTCTCTTTTGGTTCATTTGCTTTTAATGTAGTCTGAAAAATACTGCTATGTCAGTTACAGTAAACTTCTGGGAAGTGTTTTGTGGCTGTTTTGGGTATTCTAAGATCTTTGAAATTATAGTCATACTATGCTTTATTATATGATTGCATTGAACATACAGAAACAAAGTCTTTATCAATTTTAAACTTTCTTTGGTGTTCATATTTTCAATATTAAAAATAATAACTAGAAATAATCACCAAATATTCACCATGGGGCATAATATCTATTTTAAACTCTAATTTGGGCTATGGTAGAGTAGTATCTATCACATCCATAACAGTTCTCATTCATTTAGTACTTGAATTTTCTTTACAATATTTTAGTACCTCATATACTGTTTCATCATTTAGATAATACACAGAAAAAGAATGGTGTTTTTATTCCTCAATTCAATGACTTATGTACCATTTAATGTAATCACTAATAATTGGTATTACCTTGCAAGAACCGTAATGGCATTATTAGTCATTCTATAATACCTAGGTATTTTTGGCATAGAACTGTTTATTTTACAGTTTAATTTAGTAGTTTAAATTAAATATATGTCCAAAGAAATCTGCAGTTTACCTTTTTTAACCTTTTCTTCTGGTTCCTGAGATAATTTATCAAATGATATTTGTTAGAACAGATCTCAGGAAATTTCAGCATAGTTAGAAGAACAGGAAAATTACCAGATAAATATCTAAAAAGTTTTAAATTATCTAAAATATTTATCAGGAAAGATAATATGTATTATTATCTGCTTTTTAACTTTGAAATTTATTGTTATTGCCATTTACAGGGTCAGGTTCATGTCGCTTCAGTTATTCAGACCCCAGCATCATCGTGTCATATGCCAAGAATAATTCTGCAGACTGGATTCAGCTCGAGCAAATCGGGTTAGTTGTAATTTAAAGTATTTTTATAAATTCTGACATAGATGGATTTCTACTTCCCCATTTGCCTTTATTCTACCACTGATTTTTCTTTATGGTTTAAAAGCTCTCTGGTTGTTAACTACGTTGAATTACATGCATACACATATTAGGACCTACCTACTTAAAGAAGATACTGTTGAAAGTGTCATTTTCTGTTCAAAACTTCCCATCGTCGGTAGTACTTATAACAAACTATTTTAGTAAAAGTACATTGGGATCATAACCTTTATGATAGCATCTTCCACAAAGTAACATTGCCACACGTTGCTCTACATGACTTGACTCTGGCCTGGTTTGTAGGCCTGGGAATGTATCAGATGACCAGCTAACTCCCTTCCAATCTGTGATGATACTGAGTTAAAAGCTACTGGGTCTTTGACATCTAATATCTCGTTCTATCACTTCTCTTCTAACTTCCTTAAAGCCAGTTCTAAAATTCTATTATTGTAATTGCGATATGACTTTTATTCATACATTACATTTTCTTTATTAAAAAAATCCCTCAATAAGAAAATGAGATAGTATGCTTGAGGAAGAAGAAACTCACTCATGTTAAAAATATTTGGTTAAATTACCAAAACTCAAATTATGTTTACCACTTCTGCAGAGTTTAAATTATAAAAGAAAATTCAAATTGGATGCTTAATTTCAAGTATAAGATATTTAAAGGAAAAAATGCCTTGAACTTTTATCAAGTGATTATTATGATTGGGTTAGTTCTTAAATTTAGCATAACTTAAGTTAGAATGTTTTCTGTCAGTTTTGTCGCAGTTTTCTTTCTTCCACGATCTGTTTTCCTTATTATATTTCTATATTAAAAGAGCTGTGATTTATTTAGGGTAGCAGGATAAATATTAGGCTCTGTATAATATTAAACCAATTCGTGCAAAGTTTCTATAGTAGTAGTATTTAAAAAAAAAGAAATAAAAACTTCACAAGCTTAAGCTCACTAGTCTAACCAAAAACTGAGAAGTGTTTCTAACTCATGGATTTTAATGGATTATCTCCCTCTGTGGCAGGACAAAATATAATTTATGGACACTGGGTACAAGCTGAGTTCTGACATGCTATGCCAATTTTATAACAGAACATTTTGCTATTCTTTCTAATTTCTAGTAGTTATGAGAATGCATTAATATTAAATATTTATATAAATGACTTTAAGCAACACAGCATAAATACTGGAAAATTTACCCGCATCTCCATTGTTTTCTCTTGCTAGTATGCTACATGTCATAGTTTAAGTAAATCATGGTACATATTTCTTGTTAGAAAATAGCTACATGCTTTTGATATGATAAATAATGAAACTACACATTTAATTACAACATATAAAGATCATGTTCAGTTGATTCCATTTATTTTTTCACTAAATGGGGCTTTAAATTTTAGACCATGTACCAAACCATCATACTCATTAATCCAAATTTCCCTTACCATTGGTGACCAGAGCAAAAATGTTTCCAGTCACTACCTAAAACTAAAATGTATTCTCTTCATCAATTTAAATTCCTTTTGAAACTAAAAGCATAGTCATCATGAAATATTTTAAAAGAAAAGAGAATCGATTACCCACAAAGGTAAGGTACACCATCTATAACCTTATACTGACAATTTTACGGATATATATGTGCTTCATTGGTGAGTGAAAAATATGGCTTTTCTCTAGTCCTTTCAAAACTAATTTATAACAAGCCTAGGGTACTACTAGTTTGCATTTTAGTACCACTTTTAATCTTGGCAAAGGCAATCATTTTTACTATAGCAGGTTTCTGCTTTGGTAGAAGAAAATGTTTAATAAAAGTATTTTATTATATAGTAGAAGGGCCTAGATTCTAACAGATGTAATACAAAAATCATGTCAAATTCTATCATGTTTTTAAAGATTGATCTGCATGAAATTAGGAAGAATTATAATGAGAACATTTCATTTTCATGGTAAATCTCATATTTCATATAGACTAAACGTATGAAAAACATATCTGGTTACTAGAAATAAAATAATTATTGCATAAAGGCTGATTATTAAACATATTGCACACATATTGGAATGGCCTCCAATGGGTGCATAATTTCAAAGTAAGACTCAAAATCACAATTTTATAGTTTTCCTCTTTTTTTCCTTATTATCAAGTAAACTGAACTGTTTTAGATTGCATGTCTACCATGTGCAAAAAACTGTGCTAGATAAACTTTGATTTTTTTGTACAAGCCATGGCAGTGCGTGCCATTTTCTCTTCAATTTTTCCTTTACTGGCTTATTTGAATGCACTTAGTCTCTGCCTTTTGTTACACATAAACCTCTTGAAGGCGTTCAGTATTTAAACTGTCATCATTCAATATGAAAATCTTAATGATCAGTAGATATTAAAAGACTTAAGGGCTATGGGATTGTGAATATTTTAAACTATAATAAGTATAACTTTTTTTAGTTCATGAAACTACAATCTTAAGAAAACAAAATTCATCTACAAGAAAGAAAAAATTGACATTGTTGAACTTCCCGTTTCACCATGTGTTCCAGAGCCCCTTCCAACATCAGCACAATCATCCACATCCTCTACCTTCCTGAAGACGCCAAAGGGGAGAACATCCAGTTTCGGTGGAAGCAGGAGAATCTTCGTGTAGGAGAAGTGTATGAAGCCTGCTGGGCCTTAGATAACATCCTGGTCATCAATTCAGCTCACAGACAAGTCATTTTAGAAGATAGTCTTGACCCAGTGGACACAGGCAACTGGCTTTTCTTCCCAGGAGCTACAGTTAAGGTTTGAGTTCTCTCTTATTCCTTCTCCCTTCTAAAACCTAAAGCTTAATAAACTAAATTATATAAAAGTAACTGTTTTACCAAAACCACCATTAAGGGTATAGATAATATTCTTATTTACCTTATCCTACCTTTTAAGGATGGAAAATCATTAGTATAAAAAAATTCATTTATTCATTCATTTAACAAGTATTTTTGAAGACCCACTATGCCATATTCTGGGCTGAACCCAGAGAATATAGCCACACAAAGGTAGATATGTTTCTTTGTGTCCTGTGGATGTCAGTTTAGTGGGGGCAATTAGACATGTCAACATGCAAATACAAAACAGCCTAATTGTTATGATTTGCTGGGAAAGTTTAGAGTGCTAAGGAAGTACAATAAACAGCACTGATCCAATAAACAGCACTGATCCAGAACTGGGGAGTCAGGAAGACAACCCAGGAGAACAGGGAATCCAGGTGGAGACCAAAGGGTGATTTGGGCTTGACCAGGTAGGAGGAATAGTGTTTCTAGAATTAGAAATCACATACATTAAGGCTATTTTATGGGCTGAATGTTCGTGTTCTCTCACCCCAAATTAATACATTGAAACACTAACCCCAATAAAATGGTATCGGCAGGCGGAGTCCTTGGGAGCTAATTAAGTGCTAAGGGTAGCGTCCTCATGAATGGGATTAGTGCCCTTATAAAAGAGACCCCAGAGAGCACATTAAGAACAAGTAAGTGGGCCCTTACCAGACACTGAATCTTCCGGCACTTTAGTCTTGGTCTTCCCAGCCTTCAGAACTACAATAAATAAATGTTTGTCGTTTAAGCCACTCAGTCTATGGTATTCCATTACAGCAGTGCAAACTAAGACAGGCTGGCAGGTGAGAGCACAAAGCAAAAGTGTTATACAAAGTTCGAAATAGGTGTCCAATATGTTTGAAGTTGTGACTTGTGATAGAAAAGTCTGAAGAGATGGCCAATGACAAGGCCTCAAAGGTCTTGCAAGCTGCTGTAGAGTTCAAACTTTATCCTGCAAGGTGATAGAAAGTCAGTGGAGTGCTTTAAATAAGAGTCAATCACATTTAATTTTTGAAGTGTCCCTTTGAGGATAGAGGACCAAATGGAAGGAAGAAAGAGTGCATGCAGAGAGACCAAATAGGAGGCCAGTCACAGGAGTTCAATGGAGATCATGTTGGCAAGAATTAGGGGAGAAAGAATGGGAAAATGTGGATATACTTAAAGATTTTTAGGAGAAGGAATAGAGAAAGTTGGGGACTAATGGAGAAGATGAAGGAAGATGAAGGTTTGGTCAGCTGGGTGGACAGTGGTGCCATTCATTGAGAAAGGAAACCTAGGAGGAGGAGCATGTACACAGGAAGCTGGTGAATTCACTTTGGACATATCGACCTTAATGATCTTGAGGACCAGCAAGGACTGTTTTGGTCGGAAGTTAGATGTATGGGTCAGAAGCTCAGAGGAAGAGCCAAATTTGGCAATTATCAACCTTATGAATGGTAATTGAAATCGTGGGCTTGCCTGCCCAGGGAGTGCTTGGAATAAGAAATTGCACTTAGGGAATACAAAAAATGCTATTAGGCCCTCAGCCAGACCCTCTCAAGTTTCCAATATACGTAAATAAAATACAAACACAGCTTGAAGAATTTTTTTAAATGTGAAAAACATCCTGGGCTGGATGGGGATGAGATCACAGCAAGAGTATCAAGTAGAATATAAAAATCCAAAATGCTCACCTCCTTTTAATAATTTGAGCACCATAAAAATGATTGCAAAGTATTTGGCAAACCCGCAACACAGGAACTATCCTGACACAAATAACTTGTTGCTTGACAAATCAAACCCTAGTCATTTTACTTCAAGTTCAAATTATACCAATTGATGGGCATTAGGAACAGGCATCATCTTTGCTCAATATAAGCAGTAAATCTTATGGAAATTTATTCTGAGAAAGAGTCTAAAGCCATGGCCCCTTTAAAGAGAGTCCATGTTCGTATGAACATAGAAAAGGATGTTTGTCAGAATGGCTTATGTCAAATCCCATAACACTTGATTTAAAACCGGATTTCTGCTGTCATTGTTCAATACTGGCAAGCAGATGCATAAACTCAGGAGACCTCAGCATCTGGGATTCCCATCCTTTTCCCATGATGAAGTTATCATTTGATCTCAGGACCCTTTACTGCATAAACATACTTTTCTACCTCATTTTACAAGCCATTATACTACTCTGATTAGCTATTTGGTTTCTTAATGCATGTACTTTGGTACCACCTATGATAAAAATGCATGGAGTATGGGTTTGCTTTGGTAGTAATTTTCATTAGATTAGAAATTTGTGTGGAATATACTTTTGCTTTGTGGTCCTTTGTCCCTATTCATAAGCTTACCAATCACACATTTGAGACTTGCCAAGTGACCTACATCTACTAAGAAAAAAAAATCATTGCAGTAATGATTTATATCATTATCTTTAACTTGGTTGTTGGGTAGAAATTTTTCGGACTTTTTTTAAACTTCAAATAAATGCAATAATCTAAGAATTTGCCATTTTGACTTATTTGCATGACTGCATTTTTGCTTTTTGGTTCAAACATCCGAGAATGAAAGAACTGCTTTTATGAAGTGATTTGGAGTTCTAGAAATAATGTTTAATTAAACGGTATGCAACTTCTTTGTCAAATATTTTTCCTTTACTTGGTGGCCCCTGAGGTGAAAACTGAACACAACCAATTAGAAAGCATGTCTCAGTGTTCCTACTGGTCACAAGACATGTCTTATTTATTTATTTTTTCTATTTTTTTCCATTGGAGTACTACTCAGCCACAAAAACAATGGTGATCTATTTTTTCTATTTTATTTTATTTTTAGATTTTTTTATTTGTAATTATTATGGGTTCATAATAGTTACATACGTTTATAGGATATATGTGATGTTTTCATACAGGCATATAATGTGAATTAATCAAATCAGGATAATTGGAGTATCCATCATCTCAGGCATTTATCATTTCTGTGTGTTAGGAACATTCTAATTCCACTCTTTCAGTTATTTTAAAGTATACCCTAACTTATTGCTGATTATAGTCACTTTGTTGTATTATCAAATAGTGTTCATTCTAATTAACTATATTTTTGCACCCATTAAACATCCCCAATTTATACCTGCCTCCTCACTATCCTAGCCTTTGATAACCGTCATTCTACTCTCTGTCTCCATGAAATCAATTGTTTTAATATTTAGCTCCCACATATGAGTGAGAACATGTGAGATTTATCTTGCTGTGCTTGGCTTATTTCACGTAACATAATGTTCTCCAGTTCTATCCATGTTGTTGCAAATGGCAGGATTTCATTCTTTTTTGTGGCTATATAATATTCCACTGTGCATAGGTACCACAATTTCTTCATCCATTCATCCATTGATGGACACTTAGGTTGATTCCAGATCTTGGCTATTGTGAATAGTGTTACAATAAACATGGGAGTGTAGATTGTCTTTCTGATATACTGATTTCCCCTCCTTTGGATATATACCCAGCAGTGGGATTGCTAGGTTATAATGGTACTTCTATTTTTAGTTTTTTGAGGAACCTCTGTACTGATCTCCATAGTGTTGCACTAATTTATGTTCCCACCAACAGTGTGCAAGGGTTCCCCTTTCTCCACATCCTCACCACCATTCATTATTGCCTGTCTTTTTGATAAAAGCCATTTTAACTGGGGTGAGGTGATATTTCATTTCAGTTTTGGTTTGCATTTCTCTGATGATTAATGATGTTGAGCATTTTTTATATACCTGTTGGCCATTTGTATGTCTTCTTTTGAGAAATGTCTGTTCGGACCCTTTGCCCATTTTTTAATCAGATTATTTAATTTTTTTCCTGTTGAGTTGTTGGAGTGCCTTATATATTCTAGTTATAGTCCCTTGTCAGATGGGTAGCTTGCAAATATATTCTCCCATTCTGGGGGTTGTCTCTTCCCTTCGTTGATTGTTTCCTTTGTTGCACAGGAGCTTTTTAGCTTGATGGGATCCTATTTGTTCAATTTTGCTTTGGTTGCCTGTGCTTTGGGGGTATTACTCAAGAAGTCCTTGTCCAGACCAATGTCCTGAAGGATTTCCCCAGTGTTTTCTTTTAGTGGTTTCATAGTTTTGGGTCTTAGATTTAAGTCTTTAATCTATTTTGATTTGATTTTTGTATTTGGCAAGAGATAAGGGTCTAGTTTCATTCTTTTGTGTATGGATATCCAGTTTTCCCAGCACCATTTATTAAAGAGACTATCCTTTCCCCACTATATGTTTTTGGCACCTTTGTCAAAGATAAGTTCACTATAGATACGTGGATTTATTTCTAGATCCTTTATTTTGTTCCATTGGTCCGCGTGTCTGTTTGTATGCCAGTACCATGCTATTTTGGTTACTACAGCTCTGTAGTATAATTTGAAGTTAGGTAATGTGATTCTTCCAGTTTTGTTCTTTTTGCTCAGGGTAGCTTTGCCTATTCTGGCTGGGTCTTTTGTGGTTCCATAGAAATTTTAGGATTGTGTTTTCTATTTCTGTGAAGAATGTCATTGGTATTTTGATGGGGATTGCATCGAATCTGTAGATTGCTTTGGGTGGTATGGACATTTTAACAACACTGATTCTTCCAATCCATGAGCATGGAATATCTTTCCATTTTTTGTGTGTCTCCTCTTTAATTTATTTCATCATTGTTTTATATTTTTCATTATAGAAGTCTTTTACTTCTTTGGTTAAGTTTATTCCTAGGTATTTTATTTCATTTGTAGCTATTATAAGTGTGATTACTTTCTTGGTTTCTTTTTCAGATTGTTTACTGTTGACATATAGAAATGCTACTGATTTTTGTATGTTGATTTTGTATCCTACAACTTAACTGAATTTGTTTATCAGTTCTAATAGTTTTTTATTTTTTGGGGGGAGTCTTTAGGTTTCTCTAGATATAATATCATGTTGTCTACAAACAAGGATAA